TTGATGTTGTTGGTTTTACAACAAGTTGGAATTTCGGCTCGGAACGTTTGCTCTTGGTCGCACATAAATTTTCGGGTACCCCATTGGTAGATTTGTTTCGTCACATGATTTCAATAACTTTGTCTGCCGTTGTATTTGAAACCATTTTAGCTGGAAAATTTTTTGATCGTTTGTCAACTGCGTCCTTGATTAATCCGGAAGAGGCCGCTTGGACTTTCTCCGTTGATTCTACTGCCGGTTCCGTTTGGAATGACTGTGATTTTACTATGGCTGGATTAAGTGTTTTACCTTGCTATGTTCATTGTCGGCGTTTTTGAGACATTTGGACGATGTGCGGAAATCAGATATTTTCACTCAAGTCCAGCATTGCTGCCGCTCTCGTTTCTGTCAGATGTAAACTTAAAAGATGATCTGTCGTGACTGCTTTGGGATGATGATCCTTTAATCTATGAGCATGCAGTCTTCTTTGACGCTCAGTCTGTTTCAAACGCCGAACCAGTTATCGCCGTTTGCGAGTGGAAGCGGCTCCCAATCTCTTTTTTGGACTAAAATTCTTATGAATTTAATGGTTTTGTCTTTTCGAGTGGCTGTGGCAAGAAAATTGACCCCCACGAGTTCTTCTAATTTCCATCTGTGGAGGGGTGTATCTTTTTCGGTTGCCATTGTGGTGGCTTTGTCTGTACTTTCTGTTATAGCTGACATAATCAGTTCATTGCAAAGTTCGAATTGGCTAATCGACGTTGTTGGTGGTGCCTCGTTGGGCGACGTCTTTTCTGTTTCGACTTGTTGGGGGTCAACTCTACTTACACAGTATTCGTACTGTTCGTTGACCCCACTCTGAAATTTGTTTGGGTTTGCATATTGTTGCACATTTGTAGTTTTGTAGTTTGTGTTGTGGATTCTCTATTCTCTGATTCCGTTTGAGTTTCTTTTGTTTATGCTTATCTAGATTTATTGGGGGTATCTGTTTTGCTATTGTTCGGGCTGCTCCTCCAGTCGGGTGTTGTTCGGTGTTTTCCCCCTTTCAAGTTGTCTTTTGCTCTGCTGTATGTTTCAAGAATATGACTTTCGGTAACTTTTCTACTTGCAATCAGTTCTGTGGCGTTTTATATTATCGGTGGCGAGTTCGTTGTTGGTTATGAAGGAACTGTTGTCGTGGATTGAAATATCTGCCGTTTGTATTTTGTTGTTTGCGTCCTTCTATGCCAGCATGGGTCTGATAGACTTTCTTCCCATCGGACTCTCCTCTCCATGTTATTTTGGGTTTACGTCCTCTGGGGGTTATGTTGACGAACTGCCTCCTCCTCTGGTCTGGGCAGTGTCAGGTATAACTCCCCTATATGGTTTTAAGTTTCGTTGTTTCGTCGTCTCATTTTGTCTTGCGCGACTCTAGGGTTGAGAGGAAATAGACAAGATTTCATTTACTTTTCAAGTTTGTCTGCTGCTTCTGACGAGTGCAATTGATCGAGTGATTGTTTTCGTTCTGAGTTGGACGACCGCTTCTGTTATGTTCGGAAAGTTTGAAGTTCCCTTGACTTGACAATTGAACCGCTGCGTTCCTTTTTTTAATCCATGCGCATATTGATCAGCCGATGGGGAAAAAATGACGCCACACTAAATTTCTCATCATAATCGCTGGGGATAGCGCTAATCCTAGCGGGTTTCTAGACATATGTTCAATTAGTCCCATCTTTGCTCATGCTAAATGTGAGATATCGAATGCGAATGGTATCAATCTATCGTTCCACCGAGTGAGCCTGCTTTTACTAGTCTTTGATGATTTGTTGGCGTTCAGCGAGCTTACCAAAGCCCGGTGATCTGTAATTACTGTGAAGTTTTCCCGTAAAGATAGTATTTGAAGTGTTCTATGTCCCAAACGACCCTTGATAGTTTTAGTAAGTTTACCGCATATTTCTCTTCTAATGAGTTTTGAAATCTTGACCTGTATGCTATTACGACGCAACCTGTGTTTGTAATATGCTCTAAAGCAGACCATAGCCCAAATACAGAGGCGTCGCAAACTAATCAAGTATCTAAGTGTTGGTTGAAATATTTGTCTTCAGTAAATTCAGATACGAGTTTTAGGACATTTTGCAAGGCGGATGTTTGTTCCGGCTTCCATTCGAATGTTTCGTAATTGTCTGAGTTTTTTAGCAGTGTTTTTAATGTGGATGCTGTTTCTTCGAGGTTCGGAAATTTCGGCGAGGTTTGGAAGGGTTTGGAAAGACCCATGAAAATTTACTTGTTTAGATATTTTTGAGGATGAGATCTTGAGTTTTTCTCCTGTTTTTTGTGGTAGTGGCGTTGCACCTTCGCTACTTATGTTGTAGCCCAAACAAACAATTTGTTCGCGTGCGAAGTTGCATTTCTCCAGAGAGATTCCTAAGTTTTCATCATTCAGTTTCTCTAGCACCTTATAAAATAGTTTTTTGTTTGTAGCTTTAGAACCCTTTGTTACAATCAGTATGTCATCAAGATAAGCAAAAGTGTTTTCACAATTCGTTAATGTGAGATCTAAGGCTTTTTGGAATTCTTCCGGCATATCCCTGAGAACATAGAATCCCGTTTGGAATTGGATTGTTCCTGTCGCTTTTCCCCCTATCAAGCTGAAATTGGATTGGTCTTTTGTTTGTTTATCCAGAGGGATTCGTGAATATGCGTATAGCAAGTCGAGATGTATGAAGACGGTTTGCTGTGTGTTGTCTGCCTTGATGGTTTTTGGGATGTTGTCCAATAAAAATTCAATATTGGTCATTTGGTCTCTGTTTTTGTGTATGCATTTGTTCATTTTTTTGGAATCCAGCGCAATTTTGCCTGTTTGAACGTTTTTGACCGTTATAACGTTCGGGCTGATGAATTGTTGCTCGGAACATTTATCTAGTTTTTTGATGTGTTTTTTATTGATTAGTTTATTCAGTACCGTTTTTACTCTTTCTCGTAGATGAATGGTTATTCCTCGAACTTTTTGTTGGATCGGAGTGATATTCTGTATCAATTGAATTCGCACTACGTGATTTGTTGATTTCCCGATTCTCATGCAAGATCCTGGAAGCTACCATATTACTTTAGTTCCTCGTCGGAAATTTCTTTCTTCTCTTGAATATTGAATATCTGATTGTTTTTGTCTTACAATTTTGATACCAATTTTTAGTAAGATGTTGGGTACGATAAGATTTTTACTTCTGGTCGTCTACGATGATAAAACGGAGTCGATTGGATTATCCATACTCCGGATTCTACCGAAATGATTAGTCGCCTTTTTGGAACAATGTGATTCCCATTATAATAGGCAAGGTTTCGGTGGGATGAGTCTATCTATTGCGGAACGGTCAATTTTCCGTAGTCTTTCGGCCGGTTTTTGTTCAGAAAATGCGATGGCGAAGAGATGTTTGGAGTGTGCTTTTATTTCTACTGCATGTCCGTGGAGATGTTCTTTTTGTATGTCTGCTGAGTTTCAAATTTCAGATGCTTCTGATATCGCCAGAACGGTAACGTTATCCTGAGGAATTTTCTGGCAACAGTTTGTCGACATGAATTCAGCATAAGCCACCGACTCGTTATAGTCTTCTGCTGCGATGGAATCCTCCTCGTCTTCTTTGTCTTGTTGACGGCCTGTTTTTTGCATGTAAATATTATTCGCTGATTACATATTTTTGCAAAATGGCCTTGTTTGGCTCAATTAGTACAGATTTTGTCCGTTGCTGGGCATTAGATCATTTGGTTTGGTCCAAACTGCCTGCCACAAATATCGCAGGTTTGTTTTGATTTGTTTGATAGTTTTGTTGCCCCAGTGGGTTGTAAAATCCCCGAGGAAAAATGTTCCGACCGAGCAGATTTCCCCGACCTCTTTGGTTCTTTTGGTACGTAGCGTTGTGATTTTTACCTCTCCCGCGCAGTTCTATGTAGCCTATCGGTTCTTATTTCATTGGTGTGTTTGTGGATGATTGGGCTCCAAATGGATATGTTTTCATCTATTTACTGTGTTCGATACCTTTCTCTCTCCTGATTGCATATTCGTAAGCGTCTTGTGGTGATCTGGTTTCTGCCAACAGTTCTTCTGCAATCTTTTCATTGGACATGTGGGCCGTGAACATATATCTAAATCATTCGTCTTCTCGATCCCCATAATCAGCCAGTGATGCCAGTTCGACGGAATCCGCGTGGAATCTCTCCAAAGTCTCATTGTTCCATTGTTTCCGACACATAAAGATGTACTTTTCATAAGCTATTGTTTGTGTGATTTTAAATATGCTATCTAGTATTCGCATTAGTTATTTGGTAGATGATGTTTGGATATCGAGGGTTAGTCTCTTCCGTTGCAGTTGTCTCTGTCCTTCTGTTTTAAGACATAAAAATGGGTCGCTTCTGATTTTTGCGTCTGCGTCATCCCATTGTATTTTGTTACAAAGTACGCCTTCTTCTTGGCTTTTTATTACCTTATCTTTCCAAGTAACTCGTTGTTCTTGATTTCTGATAACCCTTCAAAGTTTTTTTGCCTCTGTGATCTCAACCTCTTTCCTCTTAACATATTTCTTACCTCTATTCCAACTTTGGCAAAAGCGGCCATCTCCATCATCGCCGCCCACTTTGAACTTTCCAATAGTGGATCTAGGGGTGCCTTCTGCCAGAAGTGTGGAAAACTCAGCAGGTATTTTGTATCCTGCTGACTGCGCCATGTCATACCGTAACTTATTAGCTGTTTCTAGAATCCGAACGGATTTGCTAAGAATCTTTAAATAAGGTTGGTTGAGAGAAAGAACTGAACGCAAATAAAAATTCATTTCAACTGAACATTAACGTTCAGCCATGTGGTCTTGCTTATCAACATTGCTTGCCATCATTCAGATTTGTGGTGTGATAATTAATAATAATTTTACATTATAATTAGATATAAATACTTAGTATTGGTTCATGCCAATCCGGCCTTAACTTCTTTTTTCTTTTTTTACAACTTGTTTGTATAGCAATAGCATCAACTCATGTATCTTGCAAGGCGTACCTTCGGCAACTGTAACTTCCGAGCCTGTGCTGAGACTACTTAAGAAGATCTGCTGATCCGGACTGACCATACTTTGCATTTTTTCAATCTTGTTCTTTGCATCGTCGTGTCCTTTCAGCGACATTCCGAGCACATGACTGAAACACTTTATGTCTCAACAAATAAGAGTACAAAACTTACAATCAATGATTTCTTAAAAATGAATTTTAATGCAAAAGATGACAGGTTCTGAAAAGTGTGGGGTAAATGTTGAAAATGATTAAGAAAAATGAGCTTTTGGATTTCGAAAGTTGTTCGACATGACTAAAATGCACATCTGGTACCCAAAGCGTTGAATCAACTTCAAAAGGTGCAAAAGTACGATCATACTACTCGCTTTTGGTGTCGTACTTGAAAACTTAGATAGAGATAAAGACAAGACTGCTATTAAGCAAGTAGCAAAACAGCGATAAGTAAAGCGTATAGCAAATAGCAAATAGCGATTTCAAATAGCTCAATTATTTGAAAATATTTCTAAACGGATTAAACTTCCGCTTACGCGTAACTTTAATCTGTAAAGCAAAAACATATCGCTCGTTAGTTATCATACTTTAAGCCATCATAATTATAGAACAAGACTGCTCGTACATCAGGGCAAAGCCCTGAAGGTTCCAACTGCACTTCAGGCCAATCGAAAAACAATTTTTTGGTTGAATAATTGACATAATGCGAGGAATTTTTTCTTCAATTTTTCTTGATTTTTCCCAGCGCTAGCCATGTAAAATATCGAGGGTGTTTAGCGTCTCTTATCGTGATAATACCCGCATCCAAGTTAAGGCGTAAGTAATCGATTATAACGGATTATTGTGAAGATTTTTTGACAATTACAATTGATTATAATTGCCAAAATTAGGTGTCTAAAGGATTTATAATTGATTATAATTGTGATATTTTCCAACTGATTATAGTTCTTACAAAAAAAACCCTTAAAATCAACAATAGTCGATTATATTATCTTATTTTGCCAAAATTTTGTCAATTCAAAACAATATTCGAAATATTTTTTATGGGTTATTAATTTTGTGTCAATAATAAAAAATTTAAAAAATCTTTAAAAGAGAGATCTCTTAAACACTTTGATACATCTGAACACAAAGTTTTACCAGGAAACAAAATTTTCAAAAACATTCTTTCATATTAGTGGAAAAGTTCCCGCGGTAGATGAAAAAAAAATCGTCCGAGTCAACCATGAAACTAAATCTATTTGCTGATGTTTTGGTGATTAAAAACGCTTAACGTATCATAAACAACTCTAATGGGGAAGAAAAGAAAAAAAACCTTACAAGTTTGTTTTGTTTAGAAAACTTTGAAAACATTTTTCTCATTTTTCATAGGAACCAACGTCTACAAAAAGCATAAATTATAAGCAATTTAGATGCAACTTCGAAAACAAAATGAACAAACAAAAGGAATTATAATCAATTACAATCACTTATAATGAATTTTTGTGCAAAACTAATGATTTAGAAATTTGATTAAAAATAATGGGTTATAATCAATTATAATTGATTATAATTGTATCGAAAAATAGACGAATAAATAACATTACGATGACAAACTGTGCACTGGATAGGAGCACAATTTTGTTTCTGTATGTTCCTGAATTCCAGAGACAAGTCTTAAAATATGTTCCAAAATGTAAGTGGATTCCACAAACAAAAATTCAGTGGATTCCGCCTACATATACCTGTAACGTAGATTTTGTCGGCACATTTGTTTTGTTGCGGATTCCGCAGCAAGCAAATATAGTTAATTGTTCTGAATTCCGCAAATGTGAGTGGATTCCGCAAAATGTATGTGGATTCCGCAAACTGTGAGTGGATTCCGAATTTTGTTCAATACTGAAATTGCATATGAAAAATTAAAAAGCTGAGCTGGAATTCTTATCTTTAGCAATGCGGAATTTAAAAGCAAAGAATTAACCATTGTCAGCGGAATCCACGAACAAGTCTTTAAACATTGGTTACCTAAATCGGTGGATGTCATCTTTTAGTATTTTGGAAACACAACACCGAACAATTTCAATAATTGGAGTCATTGAGTTGAAAGTGTATGGTACACAGCATATCGACAATTTAGGTCAGTATTTTGGATTGCGTCAATTCCAAATACTGAATTTGGAAGCATAACGCCGAATAAAGGCAGTATTTGTAGTCATTAGGTTGAGAGTGTATGGAAACACAACACACAGCATATCGCCAAATTAGGTCAGTATTTGGGATTCCATCGATCCCAAAAACTGGTCAGTATTTGGGATTGATGAAATCCCAAAAACTGGAATAAAGTGGAATAAATATGGAATATATCCAATATTTGGAGTCATTAGGTTGAGAGTGATTGGAAACCGAACGCATAGCAAATCGTCAAATTAGTTCAGTATTTGGGATTTAAGCGATCCCAAATACTGGTCAGTAATTAGGATTCCATTAATCCCAAACACTGATCTATTCTAGTACATTTCTATAATAAGTATTATAATTATAATAGTATTGTATTATAATTAATTAAATTTTGATTTTAAAAAGAGAGATTATAGTCGATTTTTAATTGATTAAAATTGATTGTTTCTCAATTTTAGTAAGGCTGGTACTAAAATTGTAATATAATCGATTATTAAAGATTGAAACTGGATGCGAGTAGGATTAAATTACTTGCCTCATTCGATTCAATTTGGATTGGACTTATTCGCTTTTTATGCGTGTTTCTAACTTTACTTATCCCAAATTGGCTATATTAGCCATTTTCAAACGAATGTAACTTTACAAAAAAAATTAATTTAAAAAATCTTTTGTAATTTGAGCTTCAAATACCAATATCTCTCAAATGCTAAAATTTTGACGGAATAAAAAGAAACCACACCAAACATAAAAATTCATCAAAAAGACCAGACTCATAAACTAGTCCATATATTTATAAATTGGTAAGTGCTCATGAATCAGTCCAGACGTTGAACAAAAATTGATAGAAGGTATATCAATTAATTTTTCTGGGAGGGCGGAAAAAAATGAAAAATACCATTCAATTTACCATTTGAAAAATATGAAAAATACCAAAACAAATGAAAAATACTATTTAATTTAACGGAGGTATACCATTTAATTTCAGGGAACGATATCTTCAATGATGTCAGTAGCGTGTCGAGGGGATGAGAGAGTCGACTGCCCCCCTCCCTATATTCTTGTTGCCAACTTAAAAACTTAACTTGTTGGTCGAATATTTCCAAAAAGTGTCTAAAAACGCCTTTTTTTGGCCTGTTTGTAGAGAAATTTGCCCGCGGTTCAGAAAATGATTTTTCAACAAAATATGGTTTTTATACTATTTTGGGAGAGCGCGGAAAATCGAAGTTTCTGCGCACGCCAATGAATGGGGCACAAAAACTTTTTGTTAAAAACTAACACACGACTACACACTTTCTCTACTACTACTACACTTTTTCATGTGATGGTGGAAAGTAGTTAAAAGTGTCTGCTTGGATTAAAAACTAGGATCTTTTTCAGGATAATCTTTTAGGACCATTGCTCCACGGGGGAAAGGACCAACACAAGAGCTGTACAGCTCACCACGGCGAACCGCTGTTGTGCCCCTGTTTAAGAACTAAATGCAATTTTTTTGGGCTGGGTAATGTTGCTTCACCCTCAAGCAACGAGCACGGATCATGGTGGGCCTCGAACATCCTCGGACCTTTCGATTGAGAGGCCTCGGACCTTTCGATTGAGAGGCGGAGACGTAACCACTTCACCACCGCTCCCCGCTTCACCACCGGGGGGAGAGGGCCTACTGCCTCCCCCCGCTTAAATTCTTGTTGCCAAAAACTTTCCGAAGGGTCCCATCTTTGGTATAACTTTATGACATCCATTTTTTGCTGAAAAAACCTCAAATTTTTCTAAAGGCGCCCTTGGCGCCAATATGACTAAATTTGACGGGGAGCGCGCGCCGAAAAAACTTAACTTTTTGGTCGAAATATTCCAAAAAGTTCCTTAAATCGCCTTTTTGGCCTGTTTGTGGAGAAATTTGTCCGCGGTTCAGAAAATGATTTTTCAACAAAATATGGTTTTTATACTATTTTGGGAGAGCTCGGAAAATCAAAGTTTCTGCGCACGCCACTGAATGGGGCACAAAAACTTTTTGATAAAAACTTACCCACGACTACACACTTTCTCTACGACGACTACACTTTGTCATGTGATGGTGGAAAGTAGTTAAAAGGGTCTGCTTGGACAAAAAACTAGGATCTTTTTCAAAATAATATTCGGCCATTTAATCGAAGATCTTTAGAAAGTTTTTCACGTTGCCGAAGAACTCTCTTGAACAGCACAAAGAGTTTGATCTTTTGAACTGTCGACTGGACAACGAAGGATATTAAGTCAATTGTTTCATTTTCAATCGAAATTGTTTTAAAAAAGTCAAACGTTTTTAAAAGTAAAAAAAATAATAATTGAAAAATCTGAAATCGATTTAGTAAAAAAACTAAGGCTCGCATTAGTTGTATTTTACTTGTGAGTTTTGACTCTTTTTTTGTTTTTAATAAAATTAGGACAAAAACCTAAGCCTTCCTAAATCATTAGCTTTTCCAGCGAAGAGTTTTAAATCCAAATTAATCAAATCGCGTCCTCTGCATCCGCTGGTTTTTAGACAACCAAAACTCTGATGATGAGCTTCAATTGAATGGTTACACATTAATTTTTTTTTCAATTTGATGTTTTTTGTACTTTTAAAAAGGATGCAGATTACAAAGCAATCACTGGAATGTAAGGAAAAAGATACCTTTTGTGTTCGGGAAGTTTGTCCTTTCTAAGGAGCCAGCCAATTGCAATGGAAAGAGTCAGACAAGCCACCACTGAAACTGCCGCCATCGAATAGAGGCTCATGTTTTTCCTCCTACTATCTTCTAGAGTACAAATGATTTTTCTACAATCATTGAATTTTTGGAACGCGTAACATTTTTTGAATTAAAACGCTTTCTGATCACTTTTTGGATCAGATGCTTGCTTGAAGATTGAGTAGAATGACCATACATCCGTGTGTTTGTTGAAGACAATTGTGATATCAGGCGCGCTCACTTTTTTTGGAAACTTGTTTTTGAAAAAGTCCTCAAAAATAGGGCGAAACATGTTGGTTTGATATATTGTTTTGAAGGACTCAATGATTTGTCTCGCAATATAGCACAGCAAGGCGGATTTAGAGAAGGCGTTTGGGGCAGATGCCTTCCTTAGGGATTTGACCCACTGCCTAACCACAGGGTTCTACTCTTTGGCTCTATTTCAGGACATCCAATTCTGGCTGAATAACAGTTATATTTTTCAAAAGGCCAAATTTATGCCAATTTCGAATGGGAGCGCGTTCTAAAAAAACGCAAATTTTTTTTGGTCAGTTTTCCCAAAAGGGCTTTAAAACGCGATTTTTTGGCTTGTTTATTTTGAAAATTTGCCTAAGGCAAAAAAATGAGCAGATGGCATCTTTAAAAGGACTTGGGAGAGCTCAGAAAATCAATTTGGACTTTTTAACTAGCCAATTTTGACAAATTTTTTAATAATCATTCAAAAAAGCTCTTTTCTAGTTCCCTCCCTTCGATTTATTCTGAAACTCAAGGTATGAAAGTCTGATCAAAATTACTTTCTTTGTTTTAAACTGCATCAAAACCCACTTCAAGTATTCACACTTTAAAATTTCGAATTCACAAAATAGTCAAACCTTTATTTGGTTGGTAGGAGGCTCGAGCGTTAATCACTGCCATTATAATACAAACATTTAGACAATGCTCCTTTAGACAAAGCTTCAATTAAACGCCGGGTCAAATGGTTGGATGCGACAGTTATTGCCCAATCTATAAAGTTATTGCCCAGCTACAAAACACGATATGAAAGAATGGTTTGCAATTGACGTAAAGTTGATTATTTGCCCCAGGTTTGACGGTTTTCAACATATTTAGTAAATATGCTGAAAACCTTCAAACCTTTGGGCAAATATTCAACTCTACGTCAATTGCAAACCATTCTTCCATATCTTGTTTTATAATATGGTCATCAGTTTCAAACAGTTATACAAACGATGCTTTATGCTTTAAACTTAAGCTCGTTGAGGTATTTAAGGAAGTCTTTTTAAAAGAAAACGATGAGGCTTTTGTACTGTTTAAAGATGAAATCAAAAAATTGGCGAAGGTTCACTATCAAGACTACACCATGATTAAAACTTGTTGTGGTAACTTAACAAAGAGACAAAATTTTCCAAACATATGGCCTGTATGCAGGCTTATTTTGCCCCTTGTCCTTCTGGTCACTAATATCTCACAAGCACTGTCTCCTTATTGTTCCGACTTTTGTAACGAAACTAACGGAATATTTGTGCACGAAGTGTTTTTTTTCTTCAGACTTTTGGCTTTTTAACTAGCGATTTTCGACAGATTTTTCAAATATCAATCATAAGGGCTCTTTTCCGGATACCTCCCTTTAATTTTTTTCTGAAACTTTATGTAAAAAACTCTATTTAAATTTACTTCTCTTTTTATAATCTGCTTCAAAACGTGTCAGCATGAACAGGTGATCAAACTTTACAACATTTCTTATATGCAAAAAGCTTTGTGAACAATTTTTGAACAATATAAATTTGCAACTTTACCAAGGGGGTGGGAAATTGTTAAAGAGCCTTCAACAAACACTTTTGTTCTGAGCTGAATATTAAAAAATTATCTCACCTGTTATAATTTTTCGTGCAGTTATGGGGGTGTAAAGATTGCCATTTTGGCCAAACTGGGACAAAAAACGCACGATTATAACCGTAAGCGAAGACTTAATCCGTCTTACATGTCTTTCCAAAATGAAGGAAGCTTATATGCTATATTTGATTTAATACAAGGAGCATAATCTATCACGTTAGTTTTTATGTGGCGTGTGGGGTGTTAATCATTACAGAAAAACTTAAAATTGAAAACTTTTTTCTTTCATTTTATTTTTTTACTGCATTAAACTTTTTCAAAATTAAAAAAAAACACAAGTCAAAATTATTTAAAAAAATAAAAAAATTACCTGAAAAGTCTGAAATTGATTTGGTAAAAATTTAAGGCTCGGCTTAGTTGTTTTCTTTTTTCGTGCAAATATTGAGTTTCTTTAGTTTTTTAGAAAAATTAGGATGACAACCTAAACTTTTCTGTATCCTTAGCTTTTCCAGCGAAGAGTTTCAATCCAAACTACTCCAATCGCTTCTTCTGCATCCGCTGATTTTTAGACAACCGAAACACTGATGATGAGCTTCAATTGAATGGTCACACATTTTTTTTTTCAAGTTGATGTCTTTGAACTTTTAAAAAGGATGCAGATTACGACAAATAACCCACGATTTTAACGCACAAGCGAATATTTAATCCGTCCTAAAAATCATTCCAAATTGATTGAAGGAAGCTGATTTGCCACATTTGATTGAGTATAAGAAGCGCATTCTATCACTTTATACTTTATATGGCGTGCGGAGAGTTGATTTTTACAAAAAATCTCAAAATTAAAACCATTTTTTTAAAAAAAATTTTATTACACCTAACATTTTTTAAAACTGAAAAAAAAGTGTTAAAAAATTAACCAAAATGAATGAGAAGGGAAAGTTCTGTGGACTGAAAAAAAACTAAAAAAGTAAGGCCAACCATGAAAATTGAAATTTTAAAATGAGGTATAAATCACCGGCTATGAAATCAAGACCAGTTTCGCTCCCCATTGAGAACTTGAAAAATTTTGAAAACTCAGCTGCTTGACAGTTCTTTCATTTTTAAATAATTCGGCTGTTGCTTTCTGCCTAGTAATTTTGTTTTCTTGTTTTTTTGTTTTTAAGAGATAGTACCAAACAAATCAAAGAGAAAATAATGAAAAGATGCAAAGTTTGCAATTTTTAGTTTGCAATTTGCAAAATTTTTAATTTTTTATCTTTTTTCCCCAACATAGTAACAAAAATCATTTTGACATTTTGTAAAAAATTTCAATATTTTTTGCATTCAAGATGAAAAATCAATATCTTTTGCAAAAAAGATAAAAACATCCTTAACGTTTTTGCTAATTGCAAAATTATTCACAATATTTTTAGCACACATCATGAAAAAATCAATAAAAAAATTCGCAACTTAAAAGAAATTTCAATAAATTTTTCCGCATTTAAAAAAAAATAAAACATTTGTCATGCACTTTTGACATTTAAGAATTAAGAATTTTTCTACTTTTGTTCTAAAGTTGACCATAATAACCAACCCAAGTTTTGCTTGTATGTTAATCAAAAATATCTTGAAAACATTGTAAGAAAAACAGGATTATTACTCAAACTAACCAACATCGAGGTTTTTATGCGTTTTATTTTACGTAGAACTTTCACATAGAGTTTTTCACGTAAAAGTTTTGAGTTTTTTCGCATTTTCAGAAAAAAAATCAAGATTAGATTTTTTATCAGAAAAATGAGGTTGGCTTTTTGCATATTTTGTTTAAAAAACCACAGAAAAATTGGCATCATTACAAAAAGCATTTAGTAAAATTTTTGCACATGTAGACTTTGCCATGGAACTCGAAAAAAACTCACGGTTCCACATTCAGAATGTATAGTGAGTCACCTACCTATCTCATTTTCGATCATTTTCCAAATATGATTATTTTAAAATCTCTCTGACTGACCAGTTATCTCTGAGTCTCAATTTAAATCCGTTATACGAAAAAGTATACTTCCCACTTATATTGAAATTGCCAAAAAACAAAAAAAATTGGAGACTTTTTTGGTCCCAAAAACTCTAAAACGGAAAAACATACTTTGAAACTTGTTTCCAACTGCTAGAGAAAACTGAATCAAGACAATTTGAAAAAATTCCAGCCAGTCTATCTTGGTGAAAAAAAAAGAGAAAAGATAACAGCAATACGGAAAAATATCATCCACGATACTGAACACCTTGGAGTTAACCCTTAATTGGAAAACAATTCTGGCAAAAACTCATTTTTGGAGCAGGATTTGGTCAAATTTGATTTATTACAAGAAGAACAATTTATGACTTTGCACTTCTCATGGCGTGAGGATTGTTGATTCTTTATTTCACTTTATTATTTTCATCTTATTAATTTTTATTGTTTTCACTTTATTATTTTCATAACATTAAATTCTTTCATGTTATTACTGCTCCATAACCCTAAAAGTCAGTCAGAGCATTCAAGGCTCCGCCTTGATACGAGCAATCTTATTGACCAATATGAGTCCAAACAGTGTATTCTGTGATTTGTTGGCGGGTTCAGTAAAAAGCACCGCTCTCTTTGATCTTCCTTTGTTCAACATGTTTCAACATGTTCAAAAATTTCACCAGATCCAGTGACATTCACACATCAAACAGTGTGCTCACCCCTTTCGCATTTTGGCCTCGTAATGAATGTGTTTAGGTATTAGGAGGGCCGAAATGAATGAGAGGCGAGTAGAATGAGAAGTTTTGTAGTCTGAAAAAAAAACTAAAAAAGTGAAGCCAACTAAAAAAAAAAAATTTAAAATGAAGTGTAAATCGCCGGATATGGAATCAACACTAAAATCGCTCCCCAACGAGAACTTGCAAAACTTTGAGAATTCAGCTGCTCGACAACTCTTTGATTTGTAAATAAATTGGTTGTTGTCTTCTGCCTTGTAATTCTTTTTCTTAATTGTTTTCGAAGAGATAGGAACAAACAAGTAAGAGAAAAGTTAGAAGATGGAAACTTTTTTAGACAAGTAAATTGCCAAATCTTTTCGATATGCAGTTAGCAAAGTTTATCAAATTTCTATCCAAACATGGTAACAAAAATATTTTTGACTTTTGTAAAAAAATTTTCATTAATTTTTTTGCACTCATAATGAAAAAATGATAATTTTTTCAACAAAAGATTAAATTATCTCACAATTTTTGCTACTTGCAAAATTTTTTACAATAATTTCAGCACACATTTTGATAAAATCAATGAAAAATTCGCAACTTGAAATAAATGTCAATAAATTTTTCCGCATTATAAAAAATTGTAAAACATTTGGCATGAACTTTTGACAATTAAGAATTTGGAATTTTTCTACTTTTGTTCTAAAGTTGACCATTATAGCAAACCCAAGTTTTGCATGTAAGTTAATCAAAATTATCTAGAAAAAAGAGATAAACACTCAACGTAACCAACATCGAAATTTCTATGCGTTAATTTTACGTAAAATTTTCACGTTAATTTTTCACTTAACACGTTTGCATTTTTTTTCGCATTTTCAGAAGAAAATGAGATTCGATTTTCATTAAAAAAAAGAGTTTGGGTTTTTGCACTATTTGTTCAAAAAACCACAGAAAAATTGGCATCATTACAAAAGGCATTCAATAAAAATTTTGCACATTGTTTGAGAAATTAAAAAAAAAACATTTGCAATTTCCAAAACATTTCAAACAATTTCTTGCATTCTTGTTTGGAAATACTAAACAGTTTTTTCTCCATGTAAAATGATAAGTTTTAGTATGAAAAATTGTTACAAAGTCAAATCAATTTTAATATTTTGCAAAAACTTCTGTTAGAGTAAGTGCACACAAATAGAAATAGAACATTTGATAATTTGTTTTCTGAAAGAGTTTAGTTCGATAAGCAATTAGTTTGATACATTGTTCAAAATCATTCATTTATTACTAGAAAAACTGACACGCTCACGATGATGCTATGATACAGTTATTAATTTTCATGAAGTCAGACTCGAACCTTGAGTTCTGAATTTTTCGAGTCCTTTCCAAAAAAGCTGATTCGAGAGTCTGGGTAGATGCAAGCGTCTGGACAGGGCTGAGATGATGACTCTTGAATTTTTTCTTAGTAAGTGTTTCATTTCAATACTCGGTAATTCCTTTGGTAACCTACAATTTAAATTGCGTTCGACTTC